TCTGGATTAGTCATGCCACAGCTCCCCTTAACTAAAATAGATAATTAAGTATCAGCTACATAAAAAAAAAAAAAAAAACATTGCCGACGGATATTTGGTATTAAACCAGGGAATCAGAAACTGGAATCTATTTGTGTCTCCTTAATAAGCTCATAATTATCCTCAAATAAGTGATTCTGTCATTCTGTGCTCTTTCCTTGTGTTTTCATAAAATCACCAAGTTCAGGTGCATCATGTACTGATTTAAACAATGCTGAAAAAATTAACAAGCTGTTTTTTCAAAAGCTTTAAAATTTGATTAACGTGTTTATCTTCAACCAAAAAAAAAAAAAAAAAAAAAACTTCTCACTGTGTACGATTCACTCATCTGCCTCCGAAGACCTTTGATTAGAATAATTTCTCAAATATAAACAATTAGTAACAGGCCATTTGTTTACTAAATGTTATAGGAGAGACCCAGCTGTCTGTATCTCCTTCATTTGACTATTGTGAAGTTAGAATTTTCTCACGACATTCTGCTATTTAAAAATGCTTAGCTAAATAATGAAGTTTTCTCAGATTAGATATTTTAAGGTTACTTCCCATCTGCCGTCCAAGAAGAAACGTTTCAATCTAAGAAAATGATTAGCATTTCTATATAATTCGACTCCACTTTTCATATACCCTTGAAATAGATCTTACCACTTATTTTGACGTGGAAGGAGGCTTTTTAAAATCAACTTTAAAATTATGTTCTGCTGACTTGCAAATGGCAGGGCTGTGGTAACTGAGAGAAGCCTTCAAAACTCTGACACCTTTTATCCCTGCACAAAGATTCTATGCTCTGTATGTTCTAATCCTTGGCTTTCCAATATTGCCTTTGTGAGGTTACGAAGATGAATGCTCATTGCTTTTAATCCTTACCATGATTTATGAGCCTCTTGGTATCCTTTCCCCAGAGCAGCTACAACTGTGTGGTTGTTCTGCCTGCTGCTTAAATTACACAGACATCTGCAAAGTAAATTATGGATTGTTGTGCCATAGACCAGAACCAAACATGCTCTTCCTCTCTCCTGCAGGATTTTTTTTTTTTTTTTTTTTTAGAACAAAGACCACATACAGTTTTACTTGCTTTTGTCCTAAAGAAATGTTAAGCCGACCTGAATGATGGCACAATGACCTGGATTATGACCCGTCACATAACATCAAAGCAGCATGACATATAAGCAAGATTACTTTAAGGCTAGGGGGAAAAAATTAATTTATATCTTTCTTCTTTATTTAAAAAACACCATCTTTAGGGTCACAGAAGGAAGGTGACCTTTAAAATTAACTAAGATATGTGCCATGCAATAAAGACACATGTTAAGTGACCTTTCAATCTCCTGTGTGCAAGACTTTAAGAGCATCTTGTGGTCTATGGTCCTTTGAACGAAATATTGACAAAGAAATAATAAAAACAAATTACATAAAGAAAACTTCATGGAAGATCGAAGCACCTCTTTTAGATTTTGTTTTTCTTCTACTGTTATCACTTAGAGTAAACCTGTTTTAATAATCTTGGACATTTGCAGTGATCATGAGTAATTGGAACAATTCTTTCTTCTGAATAAGAAGTCTAAGAGAGTCTAAGAAGATGTAGTCAACTCCCTCTGTATTTTCCTTTCTTTTCTCTACTTATTATTTTGTGCAGATGATGACTCATAATTCCCAATGACAAGTCCATTGTGAAATCCTAACAGGCATGTCTCAAATGACTAGTCTTTGACAGTTACCTAAAATTAGAAATATCCCAGCATTTATTTTTTTTCAAATGTGCTAATTGCAGCGCCAGCAATAACCCACCAGGGGAAAACCTCACTAACAAAATTTACAAAATGATTTCTAGTAATGCCTTACAAACTACATTTCTTTTTTTAAACAGATGGCTCTGCAATTCATTTTTTGAACCCTATTGTCAACTCAGCAGGATGTTGTGAGCACTGAAACCAGAAATGCTCAAATCCACTCCTGGCTGAGCAGATCTGTTGCTCCCTCTGTGTTTCCATCAGTTTCCTTTTCACCTCATCACTGCTGAGAGGCATGGTTCCCTTGGTGTCAGGACCTGATATTCATACTAATGCCCTAAAGACTTTTTTTTTTTTTTTTCTTCAAGACAGATCTTACCATTGTTTACACCTGTGTCAGCCTCTGTATTCATTTTCAAAACTTTCCTTTTATGACCACACTTTGCTTCCTTGGCCTCGTGAAGTATTAAAAGAATTCTGAAGGATGTGATTTAGTTAAAACCCTAAACTAAATATATCTCTAAATAAACAAATGCCTTTTGAATAGTAATTACATACAAGTAATTGTCTAAGAAATTATAGGATCTAAACACAAATAAGATAGAATTGGCACTTCCTAAAGACTGGGTAAATGTACATATATTTGTATATGTATAATATACATATCTATAACCCCCAATATATTGCCAGCAATTATTTTCTTAAACACATACACATATGCACACATGCACATATACACACCCTGTCCAGATTATTTCTCCATATTCAAAATTAAATAGCAACAATAAACATAGCTCCATATGTTCTAAAACATAAATCCCACAGCACAGATATGTTTTTAAATTTCATTCAAGTTTCTTCATCTCCTGGACCCACTTTTCTAGATTTATCTACCAACTGTCCTCATACTTGATGTTCACTGCATTTCCTAACTGTCCAAAGGCTTAAAATTCACCACACATGAACTATTACATATCTTAATGTCTTATATACATGTATTCCCTTCTCTTTATAGATTTGTAGTTACTTACCTTTAAAGTCTGTGTTTTCCCTCCCCTTTCCACCTTAACATACAGAAGAAATCCTACCCCAATTTCTCTGCAACCATAGCATTTTTCATATTGGAACATAGAAGTAGTCTATAAATAATCAAAGGGTGCTGTCTGACTGTACGAAAAAAGAATGATTTCTTTCATCTTGTTTTTCATTTTCAGATGATTTATAATAAGTTACTCTAATTACTTGCTAGGCAATCATTAATGTAAGTGACAAATAACAGGACAAACACTAAATTTTGTGAAATTTTGGGGGACAAATTGATTGCTCTTTCTTTGATTGTTTGAAAAAGGATGTATTGAAGAAGATGGTAGGGTTTTAAACCAGCCCCAGAACATTACTCTATTCAAAACTGAATTAATGAAAGACAAATATTTTAACACTAAGTTTGTTTGCCTTGAAACCTATACCGTCAGTGTTCTTGGATATCTTCATCTCTTCATCCTCTTTCTTGGATTTCATTCCATTGAGATTACTTTCAGGTCTATTTTCTTACTTGAAGTTTATGAAAACCCTTATATTAAAAGGAGAGCAATTTCAAGCCATTCTCTATAAATGTCTTCTACATTCATTTGAATTACTTCCTCATTGAAAGAAGTGAACATTCTTACTACTTTGAGTTTATCCTTTCTCAAATTACTATGTTTAAATTATTCCTATGTAAAATGATGCTTAAATTCTTATATATTTCTTTTAAATTTGGTTATAGCACAAAGAGAACCAAAGGACACTTGAGAAGCACGTACTTTTTTTTTTTTTTTTTGATCTTTGGATATTTTAATGCTTCATTGAGCTTTAAAGGAAAAGATGTAAAATTATATATTAATAATTAGTATGATGTGGTATGATTTTTTATTACTCATACCTGCATCATAGATAATATTTAGGTTGCTGAAATTATGGTTTTGTAAAAAGGACAAGTTGCTGATTACAGGAATTAATTCTGAAGTATGAAGCTTTCTTACTTATCAATCTGAGTATAAGATCTGGAATGAAATCCCTACTCCAAAATTATCCAAGAATAGAAATTTTAAAATATCTAAATTTTCTATAAAAATGTGAAGATCTTACGAGGTAAGATCTTATGAGGTAACATTTTTCCCTATGGAAATCCTTCATATTGATAACAAATTAAAAGATAAGATAGATGACAAAAGGAATTAGTATTTGATATCAAATGGTTAATTTCAAGCTTTTAATATTGAAAAATTACATCTAAAATTTGTATTACTCAAATCTGATACTTGAAATTAACTGATAATTTCTAAAACTAGATTAAAGTATAACACCTTTTGGATAAATCTATCTCACCAAAGGAAAGCTAAAAACAAAAAGAAACAGTTTAGTTTCTCATTTATTAAATATGAGTGTGCAGAGAGTTGAATAAATATCACAGCAAGATCCATAAACCACTTTAGTTTAATTATGTTTGCCTTATCTCTTTAACCTTTTCTTTCTGAACTATGATATCAATGGTTAATCTTAACTGATCACTGATCGAGAACTGAGACTATGAAGCTTGTCTTGACGAGATCCTAAGGATAGATGCTACAATTACCAAGCAGAGTGTCAAGGCAGTGTTTTAATTATTGTCTCCAGAAGATTAACTCTAAGTGTCTAAATCTCAGAGTTCAGATTCCTGTCATCAGCAAAAGAAAAGCAGCCTACAACTGCCTGCTCAAGAAACAACTGAACTAGACCTTGCCGAATTACTATCAATAAAGACAAAAAAATTTGAGACAGCGTCTCTTTGTTTCCTGTGTCAGAGCATCAGCTGAAGTTTGCCTTCAACATGAGATAGCCCCAATTGTAATACCCACTAATTATGAGGGAGTTGGCAATGTGTCATAAAAATACAGAAGGAAAAAATCAATCTCTGTTCTTAAGGAGGCACATAGCCACTAGATCTTCTCAAATCTGCATGTAAATGGAAACAGTGTGAGAAAAATTCAGTGAAGAAGCTTAGACATATAGAATTCTTGCTAAAAGAAATGATTACTTAAGTTTTATGGTCGTGTCATGTGTACACCAACTGCCTATAAGTATAGGAACATTTGAATATTTTGATTTCTCATAAAATATTTTTTAAAGTAAAGAAGTTTTTAAAAGAATTTGAATTTTGAATTATTAATTAAGAGGTAGAAACACATGTGTTAATGATAGTTAAGTGTCACCTACCTTTGAAAAGGCTGGCATCCTTTAAAACTCCAACATGCTAGTGAGTTCCAAATGGACTGTATTCCCAAACAGAGTCAAACAGAGCTGGAAGAACAAACATACATAAAGTTGTAATGTCAAAAAAATACATAATATATATTTATTTTAGAATATTTCACATTTAGGGATGTCCAGGTGGCTCAGTTGTTAAGCATCTGCCTTCAGCTTGGGTCAAGATCCCAGGGTCTTGGGATCGAGTCCCACATCAGGCTCCCTGCTCAGTGGGGAGCCTGCTTCTCCCTCTCCCACTCCCCCTGCTTGTGTTCCCTCTCTGGCTGTGTCTCCTCTCTCTGTCAAATAAATAAATAAAATCTTAAAAAAAAAAAACCTAAAAGAATATTTCACATTTACTTAAAAGCTGCAAAGATTGTTCAGAGTTCTCATAAACTCCACATCCAGTTTCTTCTGTTGTTAGCATTTTACATTACAGTGATTTAATTGTCATAACTTCTGATACATTGTTATATATGGACTCAAATGAACCAATATTAATACATTATTCTGATTTCATGAGTTTTTCTCCCAATGTCCTTTTTCTGTTCTGGATATCATATTGATTTTAGCCTTTATGTCTCCTCAGCCTGCTCTGGAAGGTGATAGTTTCTCAGAATTTCCTTGTTTTTGATGACCTTAAGCGTTTTGAAGTGTAATGATCAGACATGTACAGAATGTCTCTCACTTGGAATTTGCCTGATTTTGTTCCTCATGACTAGACAAGGGAGATGGATGGTCTAATTATTCTCATTAGATGGGTTTTTGGAGGAAGACCATATAGATAGTGTCCTTCTCATAACTTCACATTGAGAATGTATGAGATCAGCTTGACTTCTGTTCTTCCTTTCCATAGTGTGCCTGTGGAAGGAAGTCAACAAACACCGTCCACACTCAGGGCTAAGGAATTAAGTTCCACTTCCGTGAGGTGGAAATACCTGTGAGAATTATTTGAAATTCTGTTGCAAGAAAGATTTTTCTGTTCTCCCAGTTTGTTTGCTTGTTTGTTTCAATCATTCATTAATTCATTCAGAAATTTGTTTACATCAGTATGAATTCATGGATATTGATTTTGTACTTTGTGTTATAATACAATACTACACCATTTATTTTGGTGCTCAAATTATTCCAGCTTGGGCCTTTGTGAACTCTTTCACTTGGTTTTTGACCTTTTGACATACCATATAAATCTGTTGATTGAACAGTTCCTTATACTCTGGTACTCAGGGCAAATTCATGCTAATCTTATAGATCATTTGCCTCAGCTCTAGACTCAGCAACATCTCCAAGGATCCTGGTTCCTTGTACTGTGAATGCCTTAGAAAACAGTATGTGAACACTCAGTGAGCTTGTTCCTTAGCCATTGTTGCTAAGTCTTTTCTGTGGGCTGAACTGGGAAATATGCATATTTATATTGGCATACATACACATATATTCAAAGAAGTTTTTCTTAAGAAAAACACTATTTTATACTGATATCTCGGACCCTAATAACATAATATTTTTCAATTCAACAGTGTCTTAGTTTTAACAGAGTATAGTATTGAAAATGCGTCTTACATTTCTGTTTGAAATTTTCCTATCTGGGTAATAGGTCAAGGGTGACTTGAAAAAAGATGCCCACACAAGTTATAAAACACATGTCTAGTATTTGATTCTGAAGAATCTTTTTTTTTTCTTTTAAGATTTTACTTATTTATTTGAGAGAGAGAGAAAGTGAGAGAGAAAGAGAGAGAGCACAAACAAGGAGAAGCAGACTCCCCCTTGAGCAGGAAGTCTGATGTAGGACTTGATCCCAGGACTCCAGGATCATGACCTGAGCTGAAGACAGATGCTTAACTGACTGAGCCACCCAGGTGCCCTGAAGAATTTTTAAGAGAGTCCGTGGATATTTATTGTCACTTATTCTTTTTTTATCACTTTTTTTAAAAGATTTTATTCATTTATTTGACACAAAGAGAGAGATCACAAGTAGGCAGAGAGGCAGACAGAGAGAGATGGAGAAGTAGGCTCCCTGCTGAGCAGAAAGCCTGATGCAGGGCTCGATCCCAGGACCCTGAGACCATGACCGGAGCCGAAGGCAGAGACTTAACTGTCTGAGCCACTGAAGCACCCCCTATTGTCACTTATACTTACTGAAGTTTATCATACTTTAAAAAAATAGCTTTTAACACCATGTGCACACAACCATAGCTGCCTGGTTTTTTAGTCAAGTGTCATACACTAAAAATAATAAAAAGAGCATGTGGAAATATGTATTATTTAATAAGAACCAATATATTTTCTTCTGCTGGTAATCCTATTGCTATGGCCATGTTTTATACATGTTTTAAAAAAATATATATATTTATTTAAATAATCTCTACACCCAACATGGGGCTCGAACTCCTAAGACCAAGATCAAGAATTGCATGCTCTTCCAACTGAGTTAGCAAGATGCTCCCAAGAAGCTGTTTTTTTTTTTTTATTTGTTTGTTTTAAATAGGCTCCACACCCAGCATGGAGCCCAACATGCAGCTCGCACTCAAGACCCTGAGATCAAGACCTGAGCAGAGATCAAGAGTAAGATGTACAACCAACTGAGCCATCCAGGTGCCCCATATGATTAGATGTTTTTTAAAGATTTTATTTATTTGAAAGAGAAAGAGGTGGTGGGAGAGGGAACACAAGCAGGGGCAGAGGAAGAGGGAGAAGTAGGCTCCCCGCTGAGCAGGGAGCTGGAGGTGGGGATTGATCCTGGGACCCTGGAATCATGACCTAAGTCTAAGGCAGATGCTTAACAACTGAGCCACCCAGGTGCCCCATGATTAGATTTTTAAAGCATCTGATTTATAGTAATTTTACCTATCTTAGATTCTTATGTATTTATTTATTTATTTAAAGATTTTTATTTATTTATTTGAGAGAGAGAGAGAGCATGAGAGGGGGAGGGCCAGAGGGAGAAGCAGACGACCTGCTGAGGAGGGAGCCTGATGCGGGACTCAATCCCAGGACTCTAGGATCATGACCTGAGCTGAAGGCAGTTGCTCAACTATCTGAGCCACCCATGTGCCCTGAGAATTTTTATTTTTAATGAATTTATGATGTAGTTAAAATTTGTATCTACATATTAACCATTATAACTAAATTATAATCATAACACTTTTAAGGGTTTATTATTATTTTATTACAAAAATTGACTGGAAAATATAACAATAGTCTTGACTGATAATCCTTATGGGTTAACTGTTATTTTTTGCAAGTAACATAATCAACTATTCTAATGCTTCTGTTTTTATGGAGTTATAAACCATATGTTTGTGTTCCACAAATTTGTATGTTATAACCTTAATCCCCAATGTGATGGTATTTGGAGGTGAGGCTTTAGGAAGTAACAGAATTAGTGCCCTTACAAGAGATGGGAGAGAGGTTTCTTCTCTTTGCTCTCTGCTGTGTGAGGACACAAGGGGAAAAAAAAAGGCTATCAGCAAACCAGAAAGAGGGCCCAGAAAGAGGGCACTAAGAATCCAAGAACTGGATCATCCAGCATCTTGATCTTGGAGTTCCCCATGTGCAGAACTGTGAGAAATAAATGTTTGCTTTTTAGGCCAATCAGGCTATAGTAATTTGTTATGACAGCCTGAGCAAACTAAGAGATCTGGTAACTAACAGAGGTTTTTACCTGTCAAGCAAAATCCTTTAGATTAAAAAATGTTAAAGTAAGCAAGAAATTCAAAAGAAATTCCAAGCTGTCCCAAACCTTTAAATTAGATTAGAAATGTTGGTTAAAAAATACAAAAATATGTATCAATTTCTTGTGGATGTGATAAGAATTGGCCACATAAGAAGTAGTTTAAAGCAACAGAAATTTATTCTGTCACAGTGGTAGACATCAGAAGTCTTAAACCAAGGAGCGCAGGGCTCTCCTCCCATCAGAGGGCCTAAAGAAGAATCCTGTCCTTGTCTTTTCTAATTTCTAGTGACTGCCAGCACACTCTGTGCCTTGTGACCACCATCCCAATCTTCGAGGCTGGCAGCTTTGAATCTTTCTTTCCTCTTTCACATTGCTTCTCCTCAGGGTGTGTCAAAGCTCCCCACAGCTGTAGTCATCTATAGATGGTCTCCGACTTAGGAGAATTCCACTTAGGACTTTTTGATATTATGATGGTGTGAACATGATACACATTCAGTGGAAATCATATTGTGAATTCTGAATTTTGACCTTCTCTTGGACTCATGAGATGTGTAGGATCATCTCATGATGTTGAGCAAGGTCCTGAGTGCAGATCCAGTCAGCCATCCAGTCATGAGGGTCTACAAGTGACACAATAGAGACCATTCTGGACCCACACAGCCATTCTGTTTTTCACTTTCAGTACAATATTCAGTAGTTACATGAGATATTCAACACATTATTATAAAATAGGCTTGGTGTTGCCCAGCTATAGGCTAATGGAAATGTTCTGAGTATGTTTAAGGTAGGCTAGGCTAAGCTATGATGTTTTGTAGGTTAGGGTATTAAATGCATTTTTGACTTAAGATATTTTCAAATTCTAATGAGTTCATTCAAATGTTGCCCAGGAAGATCTGTATGTGATTGCATTTTGGGCCCACCTAAGTAGTCCAGGATAACCTCCCCCTCTCGAGATCCTTCACTTAAGAGGGGAAGCAAGATGGGGGGGTGAGTAAGAGACTGAAGTATCATTAAGTCCCAGGAGTTCAGCTAGATAGTTACCAAACCATTCCGAACACCTACAAACTCAACAGGAGATAGAAGAGAAGCTGAATCCGAAGCAACGGGAAGATAGACCATAAGGGGAAGGTGACAGCTCCCAGGAAACAGTGGAGCAGCAGAGCATAAAATCAGAACATTTAGAGGTCTGCTCCACAGAAGGATATTGCTCCAGAGGCTAAACAGGGGTGGAACCCTCACAGGGACAGTGTGGTCTCAGGACCCATAGGGTTACAGAAAGACAGGGTGTGTCTGAGTGTGGCAGAACTGCCAGGTATCAGAGCAGGGAAGCTGGCTACATAGATGGAACCAAGAAATGAGCTCTCACATTGGGGTTACCTTA